CCCCCCCCCACTTTTCCAAGTGCTTCATACCTTTGGCAGAAGTTCAAATGGAAAACAAGAGCCAAGGCATTCAGACCACAAAGGGGAAGAAGAAGGGGGCAGTCGCAGTGTGAGGTGTGTGCATGCATACTTGCATTTCAAAGTCCTAACTATTTTCCCTTGTGTGACTTTTCAAACATTATTTGAACTGCTGGATAGTTCAGTATCTGGCTGTGAAGTCAGAGGCTGGGCTTTGGCAGAAGTTCAAATGGAAAACAAGAGCCAAGGCATTCAGACCACAAAGGGGAAGAAGAAGGGGGCAGTCGCAGTGTGAGGTGTGTGCATGCATACTTGCATTTCAAAGTCCTAACTATTTTCCCTTGTGTGACTTTTCAAACATTATTTGAACTGCTGGATAGTTCAGTATCTGGCTGTGAAGTCAGAGGCTGGGAGTTCAGTTCCCCACTGTTCCTCCCGACAAGAGCTGGACTTGATGATTCATAAGGTCTCTTCCAGCTCTGCAGTTCTGAGATGATGATGAAATGTGTGCACACACACACACAACACATTGGGATTCTCCTGCTCCCATAATTCACACATTGGGATAGGTTAATGACAGGGTCATCACTACCTCTCCTCACTTTCCTGGCTCTAGTTTTCTCACACAAAACCATAAAAGGATTACAGAGGTGGGACCAGAGGAAGAAAGGGTGGGCAGAGGCAGGACCAGAGGAAGGAAGAGAAGAAACATGGACTGTGGGCTCAAACGTGAATTGTATCACAAGTATAAACAGTGAGCTCCCAAATTAACTTGCAGCCCCTGTGTGAGCACTGATTGTGATTTCAGATGTAATATAGGCTATGAATGAAATACAGTAGGGGCAAAGCTGAAATGTTCCAATCCAGCTCTCCAATGCAGCCACACCCTTAATCTACTATCTTTTTTTTAAAGGACTTTTTTTCTAGTAAGAGAGATTCATAGACATTATCACTTTGTAGTCTTCCTATGTTTTACCAATGCTGGGTTTAAGTAAATGAGCCATGGCCGTTCTACAATACATCCCATCTGGAAGCAGCCAGTTCTTAACATACCCTGAGATCCTTTAATATAGGATGGACTATATATGTTTTACATAAACAGATTACCAAATAAAAGAGTATTTTGCCTGGAAACTCTTCCTGCAGCAACTTCTATCCTGGGGTGAAGGTCTAAAGGACTCTATTGTCACCCCAGAAGGGCTGGATTCAGCCCCAGGGTGCAAGGTTCCCAACCACTGCAGTATTGCCAGGAAAATTTCCAAAGCAGAATGTAAGTTTTGTCTACCTTTAAGGGCTCAGATTTTAAAGGAAATGTCATTGTTAAAGGAAATACAGAAAGCAGAGGCAGTAGAGGGTTTTTTTCTGGATGAGTAATAGCCAGCATTCTGTAGAACCCATCTCCTGTCACTCTAATCCCTGAAGATTTGTTCTTCTTGAACTTATGATCCTGATCGTTAGATCCACCATGCACAGGAAAACATCTGAGAATTCTTAGACAATTTCCCCCAAACTATTTCCTCACATGGTAGAAGCCTGTAATGTTATATTCGTGGAGGGAAAGTAGGAACAACACCAGTCCTGTCAGTTCGACACTGATGGAGAGGAAATAGTCTTGGGAGGTAAGGGGGCAGTCATGGAGGGAAGGTAGGAACAGCACCAGTCCTGTCAGTTCGACACTGATGGGGAGGAAATAGTCTTGGGAGGTAAGGGGGCTGGTCTCAAAGGAGCTGATGAAATCACAAGATTAGGAAAGCACTGATGTCAGATCCATATAATCTTAATTTCACTCTTAATCTCCAAACCTGAGTTGGTCAGTTACCCGTATTTTTCGCTCCATAAGACGCACCTTTACATAAGACGCACCGATTTTTTAGGAGAAGAAAACAGGAAAATATAATCTGTTTTCTTCACTCCATAAGATGCACAGACTTTCCACCCCCCTGTTTTGTGGGAAAAAAGTGAGTCTTATGGTGCAAAAAATACAGTATATATCAAAACATGCATCTCAACTCGAAGCATAATTAATTTAAAGCATGGAAAAGGAATTATCCCTTGTATACAAGCTTTGGAAAGGCTTTTGAACAGAAGGAATTATGAGGAATTTGACAGTGTTAATCTATTGATAAATATTAAGCTTTCTACAGTTACCACCTAAATAAACAGACATTACCAAGAGCTAGCTATATTAAGCCAGCTCTCCCTTTTCTGGGGTTTCCAAGCAAATGAAAGAGTGACAGTACTACCATGTCTGAAAAATGAAATGTCTGGCTTGACCTTTGAGCCTCTGACTGTTTACTTTTAGGAAGTGCAGGAAATGTATACAGAGTCTGCCTGGGCCACGGGATTTGGCAAGAATTTGAGAACACCACCGTTTGGAGCAACCGTTCAGAGTGCAAAATAGAACAACACTTGATCAGAAATGTGAGCAGAGCTGCCTTTTTATGGTTTACTACTCTAACCCTCTTAATCCTTCCTTGAAACCCGCTATCAATCAGCTTTTTAAAACTAAGTACCTTGGTGGTATTGGTTTCTGGCTGCTGAGCCAGAGGCTGGGAGTTCGATTCCCCGCTGGGCCTCCTGGACAGAGGCTGGACTCAATGATCCATAGGGGAACTTCCAGCTCTACAGTTCTAAGATGATGATGATGATGATGATGATGATGATGATGATGATGATGATGATGATTACCAACAACAACAACAACAACAACAGGAGCAATTGTGGTTTAGACTGCTATGTTTACATCACATGCTAATTCATAGTTTTTGTATCTATTTAGGATTGGGGCAGCTCTGGTGATTAAGTAGCATGGCTCGTTTGCTTCCATGTGCTTCGTATGTTGTCACATCCAGGATCTGTTCTAGTCACAGGAAACAACTTTGAAATAAAATTAACTCTTGCTAGAGCCATGCAAAAGATTGGTTTCAAAACCTCCTGCTTTCTGGCTACCAGCTATATAATACAGTGGTGCCTCGACTTACGAACGTCCCTACTTACAACCATTTCGAGTTATGACCAGCTCCGGCTGCAGAATTTTGCTTCGACTTGCAGCCGGAGCTTCCAGTTACGGTCCAAAAAAAGGCAGGGGAAAAGGGCGGGAAATTCAAATTGCTAACCGTTGGTAGGCAAAGAGGCTGCTTCTTTGTAGCTCTTTCTCCCCAACGGTTAGAGTGAGTGCGATCAGAGGAGGCTTGAGACCTGGTAAGGTAAGGTGCTGCTTTTTGTTTTTTAAAAACAGTTCTGGGTGGGTTTTGCAGTGTGGGTTTGGACTGGGGAGGGTTATGTTTCTGTGCTGTGTTGTTGTTTTGTTTTTTGGTCATTTTGTTTTGTAGCCCCAGCGTGGGGCTTGTTCTATTGTTTATTTTTGTTTTTTGTTTTTAAAAGCCCCAGCACCTTCGGGGCTGCATCCATTTATTTTGGGTTTTTTAAAAAATCCCCAATAACTTCAGGGCTTGCTCTGTTTATTTTGGGGTTTTTTGTTTGGTTTGTTTTTGCAGCCCCAGCGCGTTCCTATGGGGCTTGCAGTGTTTTATTTTTATTTTATTTTGGGGGGCATTTTTTCTTCTTCTGGAATAGATTAATCCAGTTCCAGTGCATTGCAATGGGAAATGGTGTTTCAACTTATGCCCATTTTGAGTTCGTCCATCTTCTGGAATGGTCGTAAGTCAAGGCACCACTGTATGTGATTGAAGTTTCCAAATGACATGGAAACAAACTCACACACAACCAAGATAGGGTGTCTGAACTATTTTCTGAAATGACCCTGACAAAACAAATTATGGGAAACTGCCTAGAGACTTCTCTTATAAAACAGCTGACCATCTCTCTCTCTCTCTCTCTCTC